TTAGAACTAACAATCTCTTTACTCTTGTCATTATCAAAGATGCCAAAATTGCTACAAACTGGAATCAGATCTATTGAACAGCAAAAACAACTCAGATCGACTCCAAAAAATGGCTCAGATCAGCTTGGAAGCGGCTTTCCTCAACAACTCACTTATGCTCTGGAAACAGATGTTATTCGCATGCCAAGGGAGGGCAGATCGCGACCATGCGCGGCTGGGAGGACAACAATTGCACGCTACCTCGCGAACCCCATAAAACTGATTGGATCGGGCGGCAAAGCCAGATCTGCAAAACTTTTCGTGCGCGAACTGGTGTCTTGCGCGAACAGAGCAGCTCGAAGCACGAACCAGAGAGCTTGGCGTCATGCGGCTGCGTGGATCCCAGGAAAGTGGATCGGGTTAGGTCAGGTGTGCACAAACCAAAGAAGGAAGCAGCGAGAATAGCTGCAAGTGGACGGATCGAAATGTGAAGTAGAGGGTTGCGCGCGAAATGCGCTGTGAACCACTGCAGGCGGACGGAGCAAGCAGAGAGTTATGCGCGAAGGAGCAGACGAGTCGGGTATGCGAACCAAATGAGTTGAGAACGCAAACTAGAGAGTTGCGCACAAAATGGGGCTTGAACTGCTGCCCGGTAGAGCAGGCAGGTTGGGTAGGGCGGAGATAGTCGCCGAAGTAGGGCGGCTGGCCACCTGGTGAGACTATTCCTCTATTTTGGGTGGCTGATGAGAAGATTATAGGGTTTTAAAAGAAACCCTAAAATACTCTTACTCTACTCTTATGCCATGTAAAAATTTAGGAAAAAATATTTACTTTATTTCCACTATATTTTTGGTGTTACAAATAATTCATATATATACAAAAAATTTTAAGTACAAATAAGAAAATTTCTCTTATAACAGAAATTCTAATAATTACAAGAAATTAATAGTGAGAGTTATATAGAAAAAAATATCATAATTATTTAGGCAACAAAATATTCATGTCAATAATAGTGAAGTCATATCTTGTGCATGAGGCTGGTAGTAATAGCAAAAAAAGATCTTACAGGTGGATCCAAATAGCAGAGTCTGTTTATAGTTTCAGCATGTCCAATCATCTTTTCTGAATTCTAGTCTAGAAAGTCATAGTGAGAAGAGTCAAATATTACTTTGTAATTTAATTGTTGTGATAACTTATTAACCAACACAAGATTAGTAAACAATTTAGGGACATATAATATATTTTTTAAAATAAGGGCAGGGTTATTGAGGGAATCATCTATATTGACAATCTTTTTCTTACTTTGATTAAGAATATATATATATAAATATTTAAAAATATTGATTATATGATCTACTTGAATGTATAATCAAAAAAATTTCAAATGATTTATCTGAGATATTTAATTCCTATGAGGTAGAAATCGTACATGAGTGTGCTAATAAATTAATACCTGTTTGTTTCTTCAGGGACTCAAGTCGAGCTATAGTCTTCCAATTCCACTCTGATTTTACTAAGATCTGAATTTGCTGTGTTTGGATTTGCTCCAGTAATTTGGCAACATGAGAAAAATACAAAGTCTGCACTGAGTCAACTTATGAAGTTAACTCAAACCAGAAACTCACTAAGTTAACTTGAATTTAAAACTCACAAAGTTGACTTGATGATTTCTTACCACCTTGATTCAGCTCGGCTTGAATCTAGACCGGAGTCACGAGCACAATAGGACCAGCAATTAGCATGCATGCATCTGTGTGCAAAAAGTCGCGATAGAGATGAGCTAGGGTTCTGGCTCCAGTGATGAAGGCCGGTCGATTACTACTGGTGGCTGGCGGTGGTAGCTGGCGACTGTTCTCCAGTGGTCAGCTATGAAAGCTTACTTAACTCTTTTTAGGGTTTTTCTTTTCTATATCAACAATGAAAGTTGAATAGGTTTTATAATTGAGATTAGAATTTTTCTAACCTAATGCTCTGATACCATGTTAAGAATGATTTTTTTTTATTGATGTGTATTCTATTAAATATTACAGTCTTATATATACAGGTTTTCTAAGATAGAAAAAGGAAATAAACAATTAATTACAATTAATAACGAATTGTGTAATTTTGCTCTTATGCCCTTTAATCTGATTTGTTTTCTCTTTAACATTTTGATTTACTTGTTTCTTAATACCCTGATTTACTTCCTCTTTAATAGGGATTAATGTGGAGGAGGCCACAATTGACGAGTTAGTGACAGATATAGGCTGCAGCAAATTAGAGTGGCCATTTGTCTACCTTGACATCCCTTTAGGGGGAAACTTAAATAGCAAACACTTTCAGAGAAGGGTGGAAAACAAGATTGCTAAGTGGTTAGAAAGTTAGAAAGGTAGCCTTATTCACTTTAGAAAGCAGAGCTAAACTGGTTCAAGCGCCTCTCAAATATCCCCCTTATACTATTTATCCCTGTTTAAGATCCCTTCCAGGATAGCAGATAGGATTGAGGGTCACATGAGGAACTTCCTTTGGGCTGGGTGAGGGAAATTTCAAGGATCACCAAGTGAGTTGGGAAATATATAGGGTATCCAAGAGTGCAGGGGATTTGGGGATAGGAATCTCGTGGCTTAACGACTTTGGCATTTCCCGAGGGAATCAGACTCCTTATGGCACGAAGTGGCAAAAAGCATCCATGGGAGTGAGCAAGATGGTTGAGATGTCACTGCAGGAAGGCATGCTTCTCATCGTAGTCCTTGGAAAGTCATTTCCTAGGTATACCCTTTTTTCCTTCCTTGTACACGAATCCAATTGAGAAATAGCTCCACACTGAAATTTGGGAAGGCTGTTGGTTGGCAACCAGTCATTAGCATCCCAATTCCCAAGGTTATACCAGCTTTCTACAAGACCTCAAGCTCATATCTTATTTTACAACAACACAGGTGGGATAACGTCTTGGAATTTCCATTTATCTCGTGACCTTTCAAATAAAGGGACCATAGACATGTCAGCCTTGGTAGACACTTAGGCACCTATTACTATTTATCCCTAGTCTGACTAGAGATTATGGACCTTGGACACATCTGGCATCTTTATCTGCACATTTTTATTTGACTACCTCACAAATAACCCATCGACCATGCTATTCTTGTTGCTAAAGGAAATTTGGAAGTTCCTATTCCTCTAAGGTAAAGCTGTTTATGTGGAGGGTGACTCATCAAAAGCTTAACACAAACGATTTGCTCCAAATCCTTCATCTTAATTGTGCTCTTTCTCCCAATCTATGTGTTTTGTGTTTCCGAGGGGGAGAGACTCGTGCACATTTGTTTCTCCATTATGAGTAGCTTGAAGATTGTGGACTGATGTGCTTTAAGTTGTTTGGTTGTTTTTGGGTTGTGCCTCCTATTGTAAATAGCTTCCTCTGCACGTTTATTGAAGGGGAAGGGATTAGGCAGGCTGCCAAACCAATGTAGCAGGGGGTGCTGTTCGCTGGTCTCTAGTGCACTTGGCTGAAGCGAAACTCGAGAATTTTTAACAACAGGATTTCATTTTATTCCAAGCTGTGGGAGAGGGTGACCTTTTTGGCATCCTTTTAGACCAAAGGCCATGGTTTTTTTCCATATATTTGCATCGCTGATCTCTATTGACACAGAAATGTTTTTATATACAGTCATAGCCTTTGTACTATTTGTTTCTTTTTTTTGCCGATTTTGTCACTTATGTTTTCTTAGCTGTTTTGGGGTTTTATTTTTCTGTATCTCTATGAGGGTTACTCTTCTCCCTGGCTGTACTTTTTGTTCTCATCTTAATAATATCTTCTTCTTTTATCAAAAAGAAAAAGTCAGAAAAAAGAGTCTCCAACATATTTTGTACAATAATCATGATATCACAATCATACTGGATAAAGTTTCATTTATGAGAATCTACTCTTCCAGGTGAAAGATTTGGAAGTGGAACTGGACACTACGAGAGAGAATTGTAAAGAAAACATTCAGCAAGCTGCTCTAATTGAAAAGGAAAAATTTACTCAAGCACAATGGGATATGGAGGAACTTCGGAAACAATGCTTGGAGATGGAACTGACATTGAAGTCTGTTCAGGTTTAGTTTCCATCAGTAGCATGCTGCTTAATATTCATTTTATATTATCATTAAAAGGTTTTGGTGAATGACTTCACTTTTCAGGATGAAAAGGCGCGGATTGAATTAGCAAAATTGTCACTTCTTCAGGAAAACAACACATTGCTGCAGGAGTTGAATATTGTCAGGGAGCAGCTTGGGAACTTGCATAAAGGCCATGAGGAGTTAGAGGTGAAATCTAAAGCAGATGTGAAAGTTCTAGTTAAAGAGGTTAAATCTTTACGAAGCTCTCAATCAGAATTGAAGAAGGAGCTTAGCAGCCTGATGAAAGAAAAATTAGAACTAGAGGTAATGTGTCTCCCAGACACCAAAAGCATTACTGTTAACATAAAGATATTTATTTGCAAATACAGATATGCAGAACCATCTTTTATTTATTTTATTTGGTAGAACCATCGTTTAATAATATAGAACCATCTTTTAGTTATTTTATTTGTTAGCTTGAATTTAAATTGGGCTTATCTTTTAATTATATTTGATTCATATTTATCTTTTAAATATTATATAGTTGGTGGGAGGTTATCTTTTATAATATTTGATTTATATTTATCTTTTAAATATCATGTAATTAGTGGTATCTTATTTTTAGAAGATTAATTTATATGTGAACCTATTTAAATGTATACTAAGTTGTTAATTATTAAGTCAATAAAAATTCAAGTTTCTTCACATAAAAAAAACTCCAATAAATGGTATCAAAGTCTTTCTTACTTATGGGTCTGTGGAAAAAAAATATAAAGAGAAAACAAGTGAGTTCATTAGATTAAATATGGTCTCAAACACTTTTCCTTTGTGTTCATCTCCTGTTTTCACTGGAAAAAATTATCAATTATGAGTTTTGAAAATGCAAACATATCTACTATCCAATTATCTACAATAATTAGAGATTGATAAGAAGTGCATCAATAATCAAAAGAAAAGTGCTTCAAAATATGACAATTAAACAAGATATATTTGAGAGAGATGCTCCAATAAAACAAATTTGGTATGTGTAACTTCTACATTAAGGAAGAGTGTGAAAAATTAATGTAGAATGTATAATTTATTTTATTTGTTAGTTTGAATTCAAATAAAATTTATTTTTTAATTAGACTTACTCTATATTTATCTTTTAAATATTATGTAGTTAGTGAGATATTATTTTTAAGAGATTTTATTCATATTTATCTTTTAAATATCATGTAGTTAGTGGTATGTTACTTTTAGGAGATTTGTTTATATGTAAATCTATTTAAAGGCACACTAAATTGTTAATTCTTAAATTAATGAAAATTCAAATTTTCTTCACATAAAAAAATTCCAACAGATTTTTCTAATAAGTTTTGAAGGTTTCCTGGTGGTGATAGTTTTGGGGATGGATAGTAAAGGTAGTATGTTAAAGTTCGTTAAAAACTTTGTAACCTTATCTTTTGATATAGACTCCCTCTAAAGATAAACTTGAGTGAAGTAAGATTTTGTTCAACAAATGTTAATTCGCAAACACATCGAATTTTTAGATAGGCTGAAGGTAAAATTTGTACCATTTTTTAGAGGAGTACTCTACACATACACATTTTAAGGATCAGGGATCAAGTTTTCCTCTTTGATAGAAATGAATATGAACAAAGGTATCACTCCTAAATATCTTAAGGACCCGATAGTTTATGATACTTACCGTTAGGTAAAACTGTTGAAATGCTTTTAGAGGACTTTTGAAGTTAAGAATGCTTGTGAGCAGACGATTAATAATGTAGATGGTATTAAAGATGACTTTATATTAATATTGTTTTGGGATGTTATTTTGGAAAAGGAAAGTTCTGGTGATGGTTAAAAGGTGATTATTTTATTGGAGAATGTGAATGCATGATGATTGATGAAGAATTCTTTCTTGATGAAAGAATGATGAAATTTTGTGATTGAAAAAATGTTTAGCATTGTCAATGTGGAATCTTATTATGCCAATTCCGAATTGTGTTTTTATCATATTGCAGAAATTGGGTGTGATATGGCTAACATCATATTTGGTTTTAAGTAAAAACAACCATGCAATTCTAGTGCAATCGTCAATCAATAACACAAACTATTGAGTCCCAGAAATATTTTGGAATGTTATCTCCAATATACTTCAGGAGTTTCATGGTAATTAAGGTTGAAAGAAAAAAATTCCAAAAGGGATTTTACCAGGAATACAAGTAGCTGTGTGATGAGGGAATCCACAGCTTAAGAATATACGCAGCTAACGTGGTTCTGCGCGGCTGATGGAGCACTAAGGAGGTAGTTTGGCACAGCTGTTGTGCTGGACAGAAACTATGCACAGAGGCTGGATAGAGGCTGTTGCACGACTCGTCAAGAGCTGTGCACAGAGGTCCAGCTGCATGAATCAGTGTTTGCATGGCTAACCACATCAAGGAGCAGTTAGAGCTATGCATCTGGATGTATAGATGCATCTGGGCAAGTGCGCAGCAAGGACAAAAGCACTGCTAGGGCTGTGCACTACAGGAAGCGGCTGTTAAGGGCAACTTGATTGTTGGAACAGAGAGTGGCACAGACGGGCAAAACATTATTTAACTGGTGGCGTGGTCGTGTCGGTATAGCGACTGTGTCTGAGCAGCAAGAAGGAATAGAGTAGCAACACGTATGAGCTGTGTGGTTGCAACGAAGAATGTTGCGTCTGGTAGCGGCCACGTCTGGTGGTGCGGGTCACAACAAAGAAGTAGCTGTGGCAGAGGGACGTTCGCGACTGCACAGAAAAATATTTCTGGAATGCAGAGGGAAGTAGCTGCAGCTGAGGGATGGTGCATGACTAGATACATGGTTGAAGGGTTCTAGTGCCACGATAAAGGTTAGTTTGGCTATTCTCGATTGCCGATGATGGTGGCTGGCGGCTGGTCTGCAAGTGGCTGGCTATGAAGACTGACCTAACCCTTTTAAGGTTTTTTTTTTTTTATTTCGGTGATGAAGGTCAAATAGGATTTTGGAACTGAGATTAAAGTTTCTTTGACCTACTGGTTTGATACCATGTTACGAATGATTTGATGCATATTTTACTAAATATTACAATCTATATATATAGGTTTTTAGAATTGAAAATAAAAGAAACAATTAATTATAATTAATTATATAAAATATAATTTATTCTTATACCCTTTAACCTAATTTATCATTTCTTTAACATTCATCATTGAATTAATAAATCAAGACATGATCGTACAGTGTTCCCCTTCCATATCCAATATCTTGGGTCATTTATAGCCTGTGGATCAGCAGTTCCTTTGAGGTGGTCCTCCTTTCCTTTCCCACATGCAAACATTAAGACAGATTGCGACCAAGGTAAGTAGTTTAATCTGTTCCATTTGTGTCTAGTGAAGGACAATCTGGAGTTCTTCATGCTATTGTTCCCAACTGGAACATTTTCCGTCGGATACACGATTTTCAACTTTGGACTTTGGAGATGGCTGGTGATACCATATTTTGGCATGTCACTTGTAGATGGGTCAGAGAACCATGCTCTGATAACATGAAGAAAGACTGAATTTTTATTCATGGTTTTCTTCTACATCATTCTACAATTTATAGAGCAGAATACCCAACTGATATTATCCCTTAAAATGTGGAAAATATACTCTGAACAATAAATTTCCCCTTTTTCATGATTCTAGCATATATTTATCTATCTATTTTTTCTCCTATATCTTCTCACAGTCATATTTTCCTCCTTATTTTCCTCCTAACTTTTCTCTTGATATTTCTATAAATTACTTCTAGGAAATTAGAAAGAAATTGACATAACTGAGCATTTTAACTTTAAACAATAAAACTGAAAATAAACTGAGAAAATATAAATCTTACATTTGCTGATCTGCTCTCATAACTGTTTAAGATACAAAAATAATGATGAGTACTGGCTGTTATTTTATTTTTATTAGGCTCGTAACAGATTATGGAAGACAAAGTTCTTTTCGTCCTCGTAGTTTAAGTACTCTTAAAGAAGATGTTGGTATAAATTTGTCATTTAATATTTAAGATCTGTGTGCATCTGTGTATTTTCTTTTTCTTTTTCTTTTTCCTTTGCTAGAAACCATAGGCATCGACGTCTATTCATGCTTGTAAAATGGAAAACATTATGTATATGTTGATAGGGGATCTGAACTACTCGGAATATTATGGGTGAGGGTTACAGCTGATGATGAAGGCTTATAGACCACAAGGAGAACACAGAAGTCCATGGAATAGCTCCTATCAACAAATACTTCAGAGGTTGTTTGGTAATTTGGAGACACCAATATGGTGGCACAAAAGAGACACCATGACCACTCAGGAAAGGGTGATATGGGCAATGCATGATGAAAAATAAAATGAATTTGGAACCTCTACATAGTGCTCATATTAGATTTTTCAGTCGTAAGTGAACCTCAGTCAAAATAAAAAATCAGCTACTTTCAATAAGTATCTTTGCAGATATTGTGTAATTTTGCAATGAGTGTAAAATTTCTTTCAATAGGTTGCCAAAACAAATCAGTTCACGCTTTTTAGGATATGCTTTTTTCAGAGGGTTCTTCAAAAGGAAAAACAGAAGACGGAGCATACAGACACAGCAAACGCAAAGTTGTTGCACGAGTGTGAAATTCTTTGGAATCGACTTCAGGAATGTAGTGTCAATTTCCTTGTTGAAGAGGAAGATAAATTGACTGTGGAGACTTCATCCCCATCTGATGCTATTGATCTATTGGTAACCTCTGACAACCGAATCGGTCTCCTCCTTGCTGAGGTACTAGTTACAGCAAAATTGATTTTCTCCTTGGTGTGTGTATCTGCATTTCTCCATATGAATTTTTTGCCTCTTGTTGATTTAACTTTTAAAATGAGTCTTTAATGATGGTAACAGAAAGGAAGGTATGTACATATGTTCGAACGAAAATACCTGCCCACTTGTGGTTTACCAAGTAGTTCTGCAACTAAAAGTGATTTTTTGTATAATAATTTCTTGCGATTTAATAATAGTGTTAAAATTTGAAAAGAAGTAGGGATCAGCAAGATAGAGGTTTAGAGTTACATTGAGGTCCAATTAGGTTCATTTTTCATTCAATTCCTGGCTAATCTCTAATTTTAGTTCTTCTGTCCTTTCTTTCTATTCTGGAAGGCCCTAGTACAGCATGTTCTTTTTGGGTTTTTGAGTTACTCCCACAATTATCTAGAATTCTCACACACACAGAATTTAAGGTGGGTGTGGGTTAAGTCAAATGCATATAATTATTGTTTCACTCATTTGGTTCGATTTCTAATTATATTCTCACTTAATTTCACTCTATATTTTTCACTGTATTAAATTTATAGGACCTGGAACTTACTTTTTGTCTCACCTCTTATCCCCACTTTGAATTTCTTATGGTGGGAATTCAATTTCCACTATAATTCATAAGAATTAGACTCACTTCCGATATTCACATTACTCTTTAATATATAAGTGGAACATACTTCATGTTTAATCTCACCTCTCATCTCCACTTTGAATGTTTTTTAAGTGGGATCCCATTTCCACTTTAACTCATAGGATGTAGATTATCACTTACCTTCCAGATAATGCTAGGTTGGGAGAGTGGTAAGATTAAACATACAAATCATGTTTTAATTCCACATGTTAAGACTCATATGAAGATTTAGAAGAATGAATTGAGTGGGATCGAATAGAAACTGAACTGATGCACCTTACAAAAGTTAGAACTAGTTATTAGTTAAGAACTAAATGAGAAATGAACCAACAGGCTGTTAGAGGTGTAAAATATAAATTTTATAATGTATCTTTATTTTCAATTCTTTTCTCAAAAATGCTGTCTCTCGTCATGTCAGGACTTGTTGAAGACAATCATTCTACGCTGCTCTTTATGCTCTTGTTACTTTTGCCAAGTCACTGTCTTTTCCATGAGGTCTAGGATTGAAAGACCATTTATGAATAGTTGGGAAATTGAAACTCAGTTTCATATTTCGGTGCCATAGGCATATAGGAGGATCACAAGATACATAATTATGTTGTGATAACTCTAGCATTGCAAGTCTTTGAAACATGTGAAGAAAATGTTTTTCTGCAAAAGTTCTCTTGGGTAAAAGTCTTTGAATCATGAGTAAAACACTTCATGTGATTCAATTCTATATCTTGCATCTTGTAATCGGAAATTATAACTAATAATGATGAACTGATTTTTTCTTCTCTGGTAAGTGTATCTTCCATGAATTGCTTATGTTTGATATGTCGACATAAACAGGCCCAACTCCTTGCACAAGATGTGGAAGTTTCGGGGAGGAGATTGGATGAAACTGAAAACGTAGATGGTAATATTCGAAGAACTAAAGATGAGCTGAAGAAGATGCTGACAGATATTTTAGTTGATAATGCGAGATTGAGGAAGCAAATGAACTCTGTGCTTCGTTGCACACTCAACCCTTACGTTAAATCTGATAAAGAAGATGAGGATGAAGAAGAGGAGACTAACTTAAGAAAAACTGTTCTCAACAAGTTCTTAGAGAGATAAAACACATCATTGATATCAGACTCAGAAATCCGGTATAAAAAGTGGGAAGAATTTTCCACTTTCTTGGTAAATAATAGCAGAACACTTGTTCTTATAGTTTGTTACTTCCCAATCACCAGTACAGTTCTGTATCATATTAATAAGTACTTTTTTCAAAAAGTTAATATATATATATGTATAGTTTTCTGAAAAGAAAATATATTTTTTCATTTTTTCTATGTTCATTTACTAATTTTAGAGCATGTTCTAAATATAAAAATTAAATAAAAGTATTTTTCTGTCCATTTACTAATTTTGAAACATATGGTAAATATAAATCAAAGAATTTTTATCTTTTAATTTTAATCCAAATCATACTTAAAATCTTATTGTACCAGATAATTAGATTTTTTTTTTTAAAAAAAAACATATATAAAACCATGTTGCCATAATATAACCCTTTTCTTCCTTATTTATACATATGTTTTTCTTTATCTTATGCATCTAAATATCATGCAATTAAATCCTAATTTAAGGTCTAAATAAAAAAGATTGTTAGTAACTATATATATATATACATCCTAAAACAATAATTATTGTTCAAAAGTAATTTTTGAGATATATATATATATTATCGTTCAAAAATTACAACTTTACTATTTTAATTTTCACTTAAAAATTTTCAATTAGATAAAACCTTTGAGACTACTTTCTACCAATATCACCTTAATTATTTTTATATAATAGATATAATTAATGGTCTTATGAACAAATTAATAAAACATCAAAATTGAATAATAAATAATTAAAATTTTTTTGTTGATTAGTGTTTGAAATTATATTCATATGTCTTTTGCATGAAAATATAGTTGGATAAAATTTTATTTATAAAAACAACTAATTGTATGTTTTTGTCATTTCACTAAACTATTATTAGCTTAAAACTCTTAATTTTACATGTAACTTTTTAGCCCAAAAGTCACCAAGAAATCATAATAGTAATTAATAATATAATATAAATTTATCTTGATAATTATTAAAAATTTTGAAATTGAATATTATCATAAATATATATATATGTGAAGGATACATTGATGAGCATAAATATAAATGTAATGAAAAAAGATTATATCTAATTTTTTTAAATTGTTATGATTAACCAAACTAAAGAAACTTATTGTTTCGGAATATTTCATTCGTTTATAAACGTATTAAAATTAAGTTCAATTTAATCGTCAAATCTACCAATATGCTAATTGAGTTAAGTTTTTAATCTATTGGATCAAATATTATGGACGGTCACTGTCACTTTATTATATGTTTATAAAATAAAAAATACTAATATTTTTAATAAAATTTGAATTTATAATTTTTAAATAAAATACACATAAATAAATAAGAATATTACATGAATTACTAATTATAAGAATTTTTTAACCATCATAAAATATTTTGTTATTGAATATATTCTAGATGACAGTTTATTTTTGTAATAAAAAATAAAATATATGAATATTTTTGTAAGTATATTCAAGATAAAAGGGTATCTTTGTAAATTAATACAACATTACAATATTACATGAAAAGAAAATACGTTACGTACATAAAATAAAACAAATAAGTTTCTATTTTAAAATTTAATTTGGGCCGACAATGTGTCTTTTAAATCTTAATATTGCTTTGTTAAATATTTATGTAATTATACAGAAAAAGCGTATATTTTTACAATTACAGTCTAATTTTTATATTAAAATAATTGCAGCTTAAGATATAAGTTACGTATATGTATATACATGTATTATAATTGAAAAAATATATATATTGTATACTGAATTTTTCTCATAAAAATCTGGTCGTTTTGTACTTACTCGCTGTTACTCTCACTCAACTGATTTCCTCTAATTTTTTTTTTTTTTAAAATATATAATTATAATTAAATTAAACCAATTTATTAGTATAACTGCAATAAAATTATTATATTTTTATTTATTTTTAACACGTGAAGAAACTCTATTCTTTACCATTATTTATTTATTTATTTAAAAGTGCTTCCACAAGCACGTGCCATTCGATTGCCTCGAGCAGCTTATCCCTTTATCAACCTTATTTCCTTGGTATTGTATATGTAACCTTTCATCCCCAAAAAGGCCTAATTCTTCAAAAGCTCAAAACCCTAGCCAGAGGTCCAATTTTAATTCTAGGGTTTTTCCCCCTTTTCCCATTCTTCGGCTTCGAACAAGGAAAAAGAAGTTAAAGCTCATGACTTGAATGAAAGCTCAAACCTCAAGCCCATTAACCTCTTTGTCTTCGTCTTCCACCCCTCTCTGCAACCGGATTCAAATATTTTTTGGAAAAATCCGGGAAAACTTTCAAAACCCTTGATTCAGATCTACAGTAGGAGTTTTCATCGCAAATCAATGTAAGAATTTATTTACTCTTTTGTTTTGTATCTACTCGTAGATCTTGTGCTTGTCCTCGTTTTCTCTATAATTTCAGAGTTTTTTGTTAGGTTTGCTATCGCGGATTATGTTATTATTATGATGGCGGTTTCGGGTTTTACCGTTTCGCGATTGCTGTTTCGTTTCAGTACTCTTTTTCTTCGTTGATGAATGCTTTATTTTAGGTGGTTTCTTTAATTTCAGTTTTCTGTGATAATTGGTGCTTTTGTGGTACTCTTTTGGTTTGATTTTTGGACGTGCTTTTTCAATTTGTAGTTTTCCTCTTAATGCTTAACTCGCTAGTCTTTTACCTAGTTCAGTCATGGACATTCTCAATTGCAGAGGTTTCACTTATTTAGGATTTAACATATATATTAGTGCTCCAGGTACGACTTGCTGGGAATAGCAGCTCTGCAAAGGTTCATTCTTCTTCGCCGCTTGGGTGGAGGCTTTGAATAGGCTTTTTGAGTTTCGAATACTTGTCCATCCAATGGGCCTTCTTAATGGCCCAGTTTATATCAGGACGTCAAATGTTTAGGTTGGGTGTGAAATTTCGCGGCTGCTTAGTCTTTAATTGGAAGAAAAGAAGATTGCTTTTCTTTCCGTCTCTTCCCACTTTGACATCATCTCCCCCTCTTTCCCATTTCGTCCTTAAAACATGGTTTCGGGAAGCACTTGTTTTTAACTTATAAGTTATGTCAGCTGTATGGTGGCAGCCTGTCTAATTTGATGTCTTAATTGCTACTCCAGATAATCTGACCTCTGCTTCTTGGGGTCTTTCAGTTCATTAATTTTTTCCCCAATTTTTGGATTGATAATAAATGGGTGGAGTGGTGAAACCCAGTTGGTTGTCCGTATTCATGGATCTGGTCTTTTAGTTTGAGCACTGTATTAACCATGTTTATTTCAAAGGGTGTATCAGAAACATGAATAATGTTGGCTTTTTGCTTTTAAAATCCCAAAAGAATAAATGATAGGGGTAGTTATGACGAAACAGGAACAATCTGACTGCAGCACTACCTACGTCAAGAAGAATTAAAGAAATTTTATGATCAGATATTTGTCATGTTCATCAGTTAGAATGGTGTATTATGTTCTGATTCTGGAATGGGGGCTTGAAATTGTTTAATACTTCTGTGATTTATCATCTCATTTGGTTTTCCTGGTCATAACCAGATATCTGAAACAGCTATCTTATTTGTTAGTTTTTTGGTTTTTGTATTTCATGCTTACATATGATATAAATAATGTGTTCTATAATGTTATGAATCTGGAGTAGGGCACGTTGTACATATAACAAGAATGGATAGTCTGCTTGACCTTTCATTTATTTCTCTGCTCAGGTCGTTAAGAAGATATCTGAAACAGCTTAGCTATTACTATTTTTTTTTTTTGGTTTTTGTATTTCGTGCTTATGTTTGTGTGAATACTCTGAAGTTTGGAGTTTGAAGCTGGTTTTTATCATTCTTCCCCCTTTGGGATTGTAGCTTATCTGATACTTTGCCAAAGGGTGGATGTCTATCACCTCCCCCCCCCCCCAAAAAAAATGAAATTGATATTTCTCTTTATCATGCTCTTAAAGTGCATTTGCTTTGCTGTTGCAGGAGTTCACCCGTCTCTGTAGAGATGGATAACCCTTCTGATAATGCTGAACACACGGAGATGGATAACCCTTCTTTGATTGAAACGGATCACAATGCTTCTGGGAAGGTTAGTAACCCTGAACACGAGGAAATGGAGAACACTGCTTCTATTGAGATGCAGACAACTGTTTCTGACAAGGATGATAATCCTGAACATGTGGCAATGGATAATCCTGCGTCTGTTGAGAACCCTGATCTGTCAAAGGTTGATAACCCCGAATGCTTGGAGATGAATAAGAGTGCTTCTTCCATTGAGATGGATAACACTGCCTCAGCAAGAGTTGAAAACCCTGAGTGTCTGGAGATGGATAACAACCCTGCTTCTTCTGAGACAGATAAAAGTACTGTTTTGAGGGTTGATAATCCTGAGTGTGCTAAGATGGATGACAACCTTGCTTCTATTGAGATGGATAAAGCAACTGTTGCAAGGGTAGATAACCCTGAGCGCGTGGAGATGGATAACAAACCTGCTTCCATTGAGGTGTATACAGCTGCTTCTTTGAGGGTTGATAAACCTGAATGTGTTGAGATGGATGATAACCCTACTTCCATTGGCATGGATAAAACTTCTTCTGCAAAGGTAGATAATCCCGAATGTGAGGAGATGGATAATAACCCTGCTTCCTTTGAGATGGATAAAACTTCTTCTCCAAAGGTAGATAATCCCAAATGTGAGGAGATGGATAATAACCCCACTTCCATTGAGATGGATGATAATCCTGCTTCCATTGAGATGGATGATAACCCTGCTTCCATTGAGATGGATGATAATCCTGCTTCCATTGAGATGGATAATAACCCTGCTTCCATTGAGATGGATAAAACTTCTTCCGCAAAGGTAGATAATCCCGAATTTGAGGAGATGGATAATGACCCTGCTTCCATTGAGATGGATAAAACTTCTTCCGCAAACATAGGTAATCCCGAATGTGAGGAGATGGATAATAACACTGCTTCCATTGAGATGGATAAAACTCCTTCCACTAAGGTAGATAATTTCGAATGTGAGGAAATGAATAATAACCCTGCTTACATTGAGATGGATAAAACTACTGCGAGGGTTGAGAATCCGGAACATGCAGAGATGGAGAGGGATCCTGAGATGGATAAAACTGCGTCTGCTAGAGTTGATAACCCTGAGTATATGAAGGTGGAGAACGACCCTGCTTTTGTTGAGATGGATAACATTGCTTCTGCAAGGGTTGACAACCCTGAACATGTGGAGATAAACAATCTTGCTTCTACAGGTATGGATAGCTGTGCTTCCTTTGGATTGGATGGCCATGCTTCTCTGGAGGTGGATAACCCTCTATCTGTGGAGGTGAACCCTCTTGCCATGGAGATAGATAACCCTGCTACGGCTGTTATTCCATTTACACCCACTACTCCTATTGTTCCTTCTGTTAATAATGAGCAGTCGAATACCGATTCACAGCCTAATAAGCGTAGAAGGAAGAAATCAATTGTCTGGGAACACTTCACTATAGAGACTGTTGGAGCTGGATGTACCAGGGCCTGTTGTAAGCAGTGCAAGAAATCCTTTGCTTATATTACTGGTTCAAAGCTTGCAGGAACTAGCCACCTTAAGCGACATATTGCCTTGGGAATCTGTCCAGTTAGCCGTCAGAGGAACCAACAAACACCAGGGGCCAAAACTGGGAGCACTTCTGAACCACCAAAAAGACGGTATAGAGCATCTCCTGGATATGCAAGCATTCCGTTAGATCAGGACCGGTGTTACCATGAGATTGCTAAGATGATCATATTGCATGATTACCCCCTCCACATTGTGGAACATCCTGGTTTCATTGATTTTGTGAGGTCTCTTCAACCCCAGTTCAATATGGTGAGCTTCAACACTATTCAGGGCGATTGTGTGGCTATGTACTTGAAAGAGAAGCAAAGCCTTCTGGAATTTATTAGCAGGATTCCTGGACGAGTCAGCATTACGTTGGACTTGTGGACTTCAATCAAGTGTGGGCTATGTTTTCTTGACCGGTCACTTCATTGATAATGAATTTAATTTGCATCGTCGATACTTAATGTTGTAATGGTAGCTTCCCCTGA